ACAAGTCATTTATTAATTTTTCATTGCGATAAAAACAGAGCGAAAATAATTAGCGCTTATTAAAAATAGAAATTTGTTTGAAAAATCTTTTCTAATGCAATAACGATGTCTTTGACTTTTTATAATTACCATGTTACAATTGCGCGATCGTGTGCGCTTGTTTTATGCTAATTGCTCGTGCGCGTTTCATTTCGACATGCAAAGTGGAGAAGAAAGTATTCAGATAACACATTAGATAAATCTTGGAATCTTCAAGCAACAGTTGTCTGTGTTGTTGACACGGATACCACCGATTTTGTGATAGGACAAATAGGAAAAGGCTTAAAATATACTAGAGGTATCTGCCTTGTGGTAAAGGTTGAGGACGTGGACCGGCAATTCCTAATTGTTCGATCCCAACCTTCGCGATCTCAGACAAAATAATACCAAATTTCTACTTGCAGTAAACAATTCTAAATAAGTTCATGTTACTTTTACTCTACGCCAAGGTTCATGCCCTCCTGTTAGTTTGAGTGGTAAATTGGTTCCTATATCCAATGTAGTAAAATATCTGGGAATACTTTTGGGTAGAAGGCTGTTGAAACATATAATTAAGAAGTGCTAGCAGCTCGAACTGACACTCGGCAATTCAATTGGTTGATGGGCTGGAAATCACAAGTTTTAATAGGAAATAAACTCATAATATACAAGACAATTATTAAACCAATATGGTCGTACGGTCTACAACTATGGAGTGCGGCTAGTAATTCAAACTTAGCAGTACAGAGGTTTCAGAACTGTTCGCGCCGATCAAAGCAGGCGGTTATGCGAATATAAAAACAAAAAATCATCTATCAAAAAATCATACAAATCAATCAATCAGTCACGTATCAAAAACTGTATTAAAATTATTGTATACGTAATATAAAATAAATATATACAGTTATTCAATTAAGTGTTTTACATATGGTCCTTCGAAAAGTAAATTCAAATTCAATCAAAACAAGATCCTAAAAAACAAGAACGAAATTCTGAAATATATCGTGAATGCTTCAAAATATGTTCCAAACTGGCTAATACATTGAGATCTAAGTATTCTAACTATGAAAAAGACAATTAACCATTCCATCTCCAGATACCACACTCGGCTAAGTCGACATCCATATCAACTAGCCTGTGTCCTGCTCAAGCCTTTACCACCAAAGCGACTTAAGGGAAGAAACTGCAATGATTTATTACATCAAACTACATAAAATCTAATATTATTACCCCAGAAGGTGCTATCGCAGAATAGCTTTAAATATTTTAAAAGTGTACACCTTAGAGCCTTAGACTTTCAACTCACGATCATTAAATTTTTTTGAAGTTTCTTCAAGGTCTATTTTTTCATATTGGGAACTTTGTGAGTATTACACTAGACTAGTGTATTATTTTCTATCATATTTTATTATTCAAATCCATCTGCAAAATTTCACAAAAAAATTAAGCACATGAAAAGACTATAATTGTTCCATGAGACATATTAAATATTTCTTTTGTTATGAATATTTACGTTTGTTGTTCTAATGTTTTTCTTTCAAATGGTAATGAGATGCCGTTGTAATTACAAAGATATATTATTACTGGAAAAATTTAGTTATCAAGAATCATAATAAACGAGTAGATAAAGATAAGCGCGTTTTTGAACATGACACCAACAAAATATTTTCTTTGGTGTTTTGTTTTATTTAAATTCCAAACTGCGAAGATGTCTCAAATATTTTTAAATATCTAAAACTCAGAGGATGTTTTCAATGGAGAAGACCTCTAAATGCCAAATATAATTTATCACATAGGCTAATAGAAACTTTGTTTTCTGATTTTCTATTAAATAATAAATAAAAAAAAAATATCTATAACTATATATTGAGATTCTACAATTATTACTATGCACATTTATTTATGTATTTATTTTCAAGAATAAAATATATTATTGATAACTGTTTTTTTACTCGATTTTTTATATTGCAATTAGATAATAGCGTCTTGTATGAAATAAAGAGTAATTTCTTTCACAAACAAACTATTTTCTTGATGAGTTAATTGCGTAATTGTAATTGCTTTGTTTTAATCAGAGTAAGGTAATTATATCTGTATAACTGTCTTCAAGAAGTCAGCGAGATACAATTAAATATCGCTAACATATTGCAATCCAGCATCGGTAAATTTTTTATTTTACACCTACAATTGGTCATCATACTTCCATATGTTCAAGTAAATTTGAGAAAATGGTAGAAAAAGTTTTTTATTCGCTTTGTAATATTTTTTTAGAAGAAGATTTACATAAAAAAGAGTTAGTTTTTTTATATTTCTTTTATTGAACTCTGATAAACATTTAGCCACATAAATAATATCCAATACATAGTTAGTTAAAATAAGACATTGTGTCTGCTTGCCGATGGCACACCTATGTGTATCCAGTCTTTGGAAAAAATAGCTAAAAACATATATTTTTAATTAGACTTTAAGTGCAAATTTTACTGAACATGGTTCGATAGTTGTTCAATTAGTTCAGACAGTACAGTTACTAAAAGTCAAATTGTGCACAACCCAACCCTATCCCCTCATTTGGAGTTATATTTCTTTAATTTTGTATATATCAGTATCAGTTATAATCAGTCTAAGTCAGCCTAATATTTTTTTTAGTTTTTTATATTTTAATGTATTCCTTGGAATTATAACTATCATAAAAGATAATAAATTACAAATAAGGATGAAGTCATTATTTGATAATGATGAAAAGTGATCTGTAAATAAAATAGTTACGACTTTGTTATGTAATAATTATAGCTGAAATTTTATTTTTTTGAATCTTTTACTATCTAATTCAGGGTAAAATTTTTATTTTTTGAATCTTTTACTATCTAAGTCAGGGTAAAAATATATTGTCAGGAGATGAGTTTGACAAGTTTTCGGGTTGGTATAGAAAATTGGTCCACACATATAGGAAATTTTTATATACAACATAAACATAATCGTAATATTTTCTATTTAATGCTTAGAATTAAAACTAGAAATACTACGACAATTTTCAAATGTTTACACGAAAAGAAGGAAAAGGGGAGGCATAGAAAAATTAATATGAACTTCTTTTTAGTAATAATAGGACTTTTACAAAAAAATTTCCTATATATGTTTCAAAATCAAATACTTTACCATCAATGTTATAAAATGACAGTGCGTGTGAGTATAATATAATACAGTAGTTTGAAATGCTGCATGTAATAATTACTGACAGCATTACTGAAATCTGTTCAATTGAATCGAATTTTAACCGGAAGAATGTCTATTTCAAAAGCATTATACAGAATATATTACACTCTTTTATTATGCTAAGTACGAAAATCTCATATATGTGTAGACCAATTTTCTATACGAAACCGAAATTTGACAGTCATTTCCTGACAAACTTAAATGAAACACTAGGCTTCACTCATTGGAGTGAACTCTAGTTATTTTTTTTTTCTTTTTCTTTTATTATTATTATTATTATTTTTATTATCATTATTTTTATCTATTTATTTGTTTATTATTATTTTTTTTCGATTTTTTTGTGTCACAATAGACTAAATTGTATCTTTATTGCTATTAATAAATAAATAAATAAATAAAAATCCTGACAATATAATTTTTTAAAATAAAAATAAAATCAAAAACAAATGAATAACTAACAATAATATAACATTTATGTTAATAATAATAATTTGAATGAGATACAAAGTAATCTCATTGATACAAAATAATGAAGGTGTTCTGTTGTAAACGCGTATAAGATCTTTTATGAAAAGTTCCTCTTTCGATAACTTTGGTTGTTAGGTTGAATTTAACCTTTGTAGGGTTATTGGGTTTAATTTTATATTTTAGTTGAAAAGGCATTTGTGTCAGCTAATATCAATAACGAAAAAATATCAATTGTTAGCTACTAACTCCAGGACTTAATAATTAATGAACCAGTGGAGATACCTTAATTAACTTTAAGGCATTGTTAATAGCAAGAGTAGGTATTAACTATTATTTAGGTATTAACAGAAAAATCAAAAGATGCGGTTCTTATTACACACTAATGACTTATATATACTTATATAGTTTTACTTGATAGAAGGTTTTATATGTTAACAAGCAAACCGGGCAAGCTCCGTTTCTCCACCAGATGGTATCACTTTATTGGTGATTAAAAGATTAAGAAAAAAATTGCCTGCTGTTGAAATTGAATAAAAATTTGCACAATATACGTGATTGATTTGATGGTTTCCAATTGAAATATTAGGAAACTAATAGCATATTTTTTACATTTTTTGCACAATTTCATAGTGAACACAATGCCGGTTTGTCACATGAAATTAATTGAGCAGATAACAATGAGTAGCAGTCAATGAAAAAATATTAGTTTGTAGTACATGCTAAGCATCAGAGATGACGTTATATGTGAAAAAAGAAAAAGTGTTTTCCGCATTTCTGTTAAAATCTTTCTTCAATTTTCTTTGCTATAAACCTCACGGAGTCCTAGACCTTTCCAACAAATGTAAAATCGTCGAAATCGGTTTGTGCGTTCTGGAGTTATATCGTCAGGAAGGAAAACCCGACTTATTTTTATATAATAGATTACTTCTTTATTATGTTTCTACGCGGACTTTAGTTTTGGAAGTAAACGAAGTAAGTCCGATCAAGCTCTGTACTACTCTCTTTGGTATAAAATCTCAATGCCATGAAGATTGCCATTTTCATGGCCAATATAATAATATGAAAATTCGTTCGAACATAAGTTGATAAAGGGTGTTTTAACTAACAAATATAAATAGAATCCTTGATCAATGAATAAAAATAATGATTTTATCATCAATGCCACCTTTATTAAACAAAATATTTCATTTTTCTTTCATAAACAATAAAAAAATATACATACATATACAAGGTCAGTCAAATTAAAATATAGAGATCGTCGTGTTAATTATTCATAATCGACAATAAATGAATTTTGCCCATTAATATCCACCCATTTTGCCCATCATACCGCCACCCATGCCTCCTCCCATACCGCCCCCCATGCCGCCGCCCATGTATTTGCCGTAGATCATGGGGTGCTGGGCATGACCGACCTTCTTGACGACAGCGTTGAAACCGTTTAATTTGTCAGCTTGGTATTCTACGATGCGCATCGTGCCATCGGCGTCGTGGAGCATGTATCCTCCTAAAAAATAATAAATTATAATAAAAATATTTTATATAAACAATATTTTACACAAGGTTTTGATGATGAAAATGTTTAAAGAAAACTTTTAGCTGTCGTATTATCTCTGATCATCTAGATATGTAGATGTCTGTCTATGTCTATTCAATTTGAACAATTGTGATCTAATAGTGACTATCAATTAGGCTATTTTTTATCTACATTTATTTTTTTAACTTTTTTAAAAATCTTGATCTATATAACTTACAGAATGTATGAATAAATAATAATATTGACATAAAAAAATTGAATGTATAGTTCTGTTCTTCAATGATATTAGTCGTATCTTTTCAAATGCTCAAAAACAATTTTGGTTATATATAAATATATTGAACAGCTATCAGAACCAACTAACTAATATATTCATGTGAGCTGTTGTCCTTAATTTATATTTTAAAAACTCTATTATAGAAGTCAATCTATTTATTTTTACTCTCTAATTGTGTTCGGATGTCTTTTCGTTTTATTATATTGGCCATGAAGGTGACAAACTTCAGGGCATTAAGCTTTACACGGAATAGTTGCTTGGTAGAGGGGGTGGAGGGCGGAGTGTTTTTAAATAAACTAGTTGTTCACTTCAAAAAATCCGCTTAACATGTAAATAACATGTAAAAATAAATATATCTTCTTTCATTATAACTTAGTAACAAATCAGTGATTGTGATTAGAACTGCAACAAATACATAATATACAAACAAATCAGTGCTTATCACAGTCCACAGCTACAAGGGTTAAATTATAACCCAACAACCTTATATCGAAGGAGAGTTTTAATAAATTCTATAACTACGTAACAAAAGTACAAATTGTTTTATATTTATTAAGTTTCGGTAGGATAAGGTATAGTAATTCAAAAAAAAATTTTTTTTTTTGCATATCTTTACTTTTCAAAGGTTTCTGAACATTTTGGCATACCTTAGAAAAAATGAATTTATGTGTGTGTGTCTCTGCTTGTATGTTTGGATACAAGTTCTTGTATTTCTACAATTTTTTCATATCTTTAATTCGTTCGTACAAACATTCGAGCCAAATTAATCGTGCTTTATGTGTAAAATTTAATTTGGTATAGAAAACTTTGCATATCTGACCCTTGTCTTGTATATTGATAGTTATTATATTTCTTATATACTCGTAATTACATTTTTCTTGCTTTTAATATATTTTTATTAATGCTGGAATTCTTTATATTTATAGCGTTATTATCGTTGGCTCTATAAAGCTCCTGTTTAAATATTATCTATATTGTGGAATATGATGATTCACGAATAAATAGAAAACAATCGTAGTTGTGCAAGATTTCTTATAAAGCTTATTAACTTCTGGTCGAACTATGGGGCAAAAAGTGCATAAAAGCAATTTTTGAGTGAACGGATCATCCGATTAGAGTCATTCAAAAAGCATATTGCTTGTGTCAATAGTGTGAAGAAATGATTGTTTTGTTCATTATGTTTTCGTTCTTGTAGTTGAACATAGATAGAGATTGTCGCCCAAATATAAGCACTTATATAATATTAGATTTGTGAAATATGACGATGAAATTTACAGTATTAGTAATAATTAATTGAAAATATTTAAAACAATTTTTATAACTCATTGATAACTTTTTATTGACGAATGATTATTTTTATTTCGCGAACGTTTAATTACTGTATGGGATGTTCTAGCAATCTACCTTGAGGCACAATGCCATATGAAACTAATTGGTTTTCTTCTTAGGGCGCGTTCATTAATCACGTGACTTTTTTAGGAGAAGGGGGGGCTTTGACAAAAATCACAAAATATGGGGGGAGGAAGAGTTTTAGTACTATATCACGCATATATTCAATTTTTACCTGATTATTATTTTGAAAACCAAACATTTGCAAAAAAAAAATAAAAAAATAATACAATTTTTTTACGAAACTAAAAATGCACGATGTTTGGTGGGGGATGGCGCGTAATTTTGGATTAGGGAGAGGTTGGTCCAAAAATCCTTAAAAAATTGATCGCGTTATTATTGGACACCCCCTTATATTCTTTAAGCACTTGGTGATACTATGGTGATACTTGTTGCATCCGACAATAGTTGTCGAGTCGAATTAAATTTATATCTATACTAATATAACATTGCACTAAAAATACTTCATGTATATCGATTTTCTAAATATTGTCAAAATTTTAGGAAATAAACCTTTATTTATTTATCTTACCTTTAACCATGTCTCCGTGGCGAGTCTCCCAAGCTTTTTTGTTGTCTCCGGTGTGATAGTCGTTTACGGCATAATCGTATTTGTATTCAGGGAAGTGCTGTGAATGGAATATTATCGTAAACTGACATATATATGTGACAATGTAATGCATGGTCATTGCAATTATTACACTTAGGAGTCAACGCACTCGTTCAATCAGATACTGTTTGAATCAGATAAATCTTCATTGACTGTAGATACAGGATACAGAGTTAATTATATCGTGTTGTGCAATATTGATTCAAATGGATTAATATCTTATGGGATTGAACTAAATAAAAAACTAACAATATTCAATTTCAGTTTTAATTAATAATGTTTAATCCAATTTGCTTAAGTGTTTGTAGTAAAAATAATTATTGAAATCAGCAAAGTTTGGAATTAGAAGAGTGTGTGTTGTTTCAGAGGGCGGGGTAGTAGGTGTTTTGTTTTTAGTGATATTTATTTATTTAATGGTATTAAAACCAGTCTCAATCGATTTGCTCATATTTGGTTCATTGACCACCAGTAAAAATTAATCGAAATTACTAAAAACACCTTTAAAATGAACTTTACAAGGCGCGAAGCACATTTGAATTGATTACTCCAACAAGACTGTGACAATGACGCTCAACATCTGACTAGATCATTATTATGGCTTTTTTCATGTTATACAGCCGCGAAATAAACCTTGCCAATTTTTAAATAAGTCAACTGTGTCATTTTGTCCATATATGTCATTTGGTACGTATTTTCCTCATTAATAGTGCAATATTACCTTAATAGTGTAATATTACTAGTATTAATGGTATAACGTTATCATAATGCAACTGTTTGACATTAGTGTAGCGTAATATTATTGAACAAAAGTTATAAAACGAGAATTAGATTTTTTACAATAACAGCAATCAGAAAGAATGTGATTTGCATATGACTGTAATTGGTATCTATTGAGATCAATTCTAAATTATGAAAAAAAAATCAACTGAATGATTTAAATAAGTACTTACATGAGGGTAATGTTCATAATGTCCTCCTCCCATACTGTGTGCAGTTTGATGGATTTGTTGATGGCTATAAGCATGGCCCATTCCACCACCCATTCCACCACCCATTCCTCCACCCATGCCGCCCCCCATTCCTCCCATCATCATTTCATAACCAGCTTGGGCTCTGTGGGCCACTGCTGCCAGGCAGACCAAGAGAACCTAGTAAAAGAATTACCAGATGAAAAAAGATGTTGAAATTTTATATTAAATTTAAATCCTATTAGATCATTATCCTTATTTGACAATTTTAATGCATTTTTTCTACAGCTTTCTAAGAAACTTATCTGCTTCAACTTTATCTGCTAAAGTTGCAGTGTTTAATTATGGGTAATTAATGGGCATACAAAATTATGTTAAGAGCTTTCCGGTTTAGTAAACTTTTTTTCGCGTACGATTCGATTTTGTGTAACAATTTTGCTATGAAATGTTATATTGATTTTACCGATGATCATGCTGATTTAATGCTAATAATGATCTAACTAAAACGACAAATTATAAGAAGCTTTTTACATTTTGTTCGTGTTGTAAATGATAAGATGATTAAACGTCATTTGCTTTAAAATTGATAGAAAAATACGTAAAACTCGAAAGAAAATTCTTCATATACTTTGTTACGCCTTTGGTAACATATAGAACCACCGAATAGTCCAAAGTGGTAAATGAGTAATTTTACCAAAATTATTTGATGAATTATTTTTTCTGAAAGTTTAACACGTTTGGCTTAAAATTCATTTACTTATATTAAAAAAATTATAAATTCATCAGTTTATGACTCCACCGATTTGATGCAAACAACTGGACACTAATAGTCATTTTAATTACAAATAAATTAATGAACGCTCGATTTTAGTTAACAATGAATGAATAAATAATTTAGCACTTTTTTACTAGAAATAATAAAATTATTGATAGTAATGTATCATTTACTACGTACTATGTAAGAACTCATTTTTCTACTACTGTTTTGTTGTTGTTCTGATAAGGAACTAATTCACTGAACTGATACAAAGCTTAGGCCTGAATCCGCTTTTATATTCAGAAGTCGATATGCTTCATAGGGCATAATGTGAAAATGTGCAAAAATGAAAATATAAGTATACAGTTGCCATTGTGCATCTCATTAAAATACCTAAAATAATCAACACCATGTGATATATGGTCAGTGGTAAATTTCTAATGATACGAGTGATTATACATATGTTGCGTGTCGCAAAATCGCAACACCTTGGAAAAGCGTTAAAGCTGGTTTCATGGAAACTAATTGTAAGTATTACGATATCGTTAATTAAATCAATACGAAATTCAAAATCAATAACACACATGTTACATCAATAGAAATAATCATGAATGATTTGTAACCGATACTACAGCATTTGTGGTGCTCAGTAGAGGTTGTATTTTCTGGTAGATAGATAAGTGGTCATTTATAAGTTTTTAATACTTGCTTAGTAATAAATTTACATGTTTTTAATGAAAGTTAATCATTATGCTCAATTATTTTTGAAAGGCATATCATGAAGTAAAAAAAACATTTTAACTCATCTTTGAATTTCTACAAATCTAAATTTTGGGAATTTTATGCGATTTATTCTATTGAACAAACCATAGAGAGCTAACAAATTTTAGTCTCTCATTATTAAACATAACACTGGTACTTCATGTTAAATTATTTTACTTTAATTTTTCATTATTTAAAATATATAAAATTGCATCGTAAACTTCTCCTGATATCGTAAGAACCAAATTGTATGTATTCATCTATACTTTCCAATCGTGTATCAGATTGTTGCTTTAAAGTTTAAAATATATTGTCCAAGATTAGTAAAAGATGCAAAGAAATTTAATATCTTTTGAATAATATTAAAAAAACTATATTTTAAATTTCATATCCGAATCTTATTTTGGCGCCCCCTAAGGCGTGCGCCGGCATTTTAATAAAAAATATTGTGTTACTGGTAGTCAATGCATGATGCAATGTAAGCAAAAACGTTGAAAACTAATTGTAATATCATCAAATAAATAAATATAATTATGAAGAAAAATACAATGTCATTTTGTCCGTAACTTCCTTAAAATTTGCTATCACAAATTTTATGAATGTGAATTTATAACTTTAATTTACTATATATTTTATTGCTACGATTCTAAATTTTATAATTGCAAAAAATTGGAATAAAAATCTGAAAAAAACACAAATTATTCATATTTTCTAATTTTAATGAAATTCTAACTGTTTTATTTCTAAAAATAAACCTTACATAGCTTTATCCTATTTACTTATTGTTTAGATGAAATGCTTACAATTTAAAACGTGAAAATTAATTATAAGCTATGCAATTATTAATATAGATTAAAAAGTTGAATTAAAAATTAATTACAAAATATAATGGCATTATTGAAATATATTTTAAATCTAAATTATTGATGAAAAATTAATTATGAAAAAATTAATATATAAATCTAAATATATAATTAAAAATTAAATATACAATATGCAATATATATATATATATATATATATATATATATATATATATATATATATATATATATATATATATATATTTGGCACACACTTAAAAACTAGGTTTATGTTTAACTTACGTGGTTAAATTAACATTAAAACTCAATTAAAAAATCTTAAAAATATATACTCTAATTAAAGTAGCAAGTTAATATACCCCCATTAAGACGATTTTGCTTAATACAATTTCCCGCATATTACATCACTTTACGCCGGTCCCTGCACTTTGAAATAGATTTTCTTATCCCACACGTTTTCTTGGCTTAAGACGTAGTTCTGGTCCTGTCCCTGAACAATCGTCTTAACGGGGTTTTATCGAAGGTATTATTTAGGATATAAATTTCTATGACGCATCTTGAATGCCTCTCTCACTCCAGCAATCGCTATCTTATATGGATCTTCCTCAGTAGTTGGATTATCAGTTACGGTTGCTTTAGTTTCTGTTTCAGTAGTTGATGTAGTAGTATCATCATGTTTTTGCAAAGGCAATACTTCCAACACATCAAATTTTGGCAAAATACGTCTTTTTAATAATTGAGGTCCTACAAAAATATTTTCAAGCGACTTCTCGGGCGGCACATCTGGTATTTCAGCAGTCGTAGTCAAGTATCCTTTCTTTTTCTTATATTCGGATAGATATTTGCTTATATTTGCTCTTAGCATATCGTTTCGTTGTTTGAATTCATTAACTTCAACTGTGTTGACCCTACCTACAAGAGCTTGTTGTTCGCCTCCTGAAATTGGAAAAATAAGTTGTAAAATTTGTTTTGTGGTTCCAAGAAATAGAGTTTTTATCAATTTGATACATTTGGCTACATTTGTCATTTTCAATTTCCTAAAGTGTTATTCATAAATTGAAAACCGGTATTATTTACTAAAAATCGAATTTCTAATTCTATAATATACCCCTAAAAATTTCTCTACTTTGAAAATGCAGGCTAAGTGTAATTTCCAATTACTGCATTACCAAATTACATGTAGTATTTTTAAATTACACAATACGTATTTAAAATTATATATAATATTTGTTGATAATTTTTACTAAATAATTATTATTGTTATTTATATATTTTCTTTTATCATAAGGGTCATCTACTAGATATATAGACCGTTTTTTAAATAATTTTACAAATGTATACCAAAATTAAATAATAAATACAGCTTTATATCATAAAGCTATTAAAACTGTACCTAATATATTGATGCTCTCATCTGGAACTGGTAGCATCGTCAAACCAGGCTTCCTAACCAAAGAAGAGTTTTTATCCGGACCGAAATCCAATTCTGGAAACTTCATTTCCTTCTCAATAAATTTTTCATCAAACTTTTTTGGAATGGTTTGAATATATGCAGATGTTCCATTTTCTGAAATATTAATAGTTAATGTATTGACATAATTTTTGTATCATCGTACACATTATTTAGTGAATTCATTATCTTGGTGGTCAAAATTATTACCTCGGTCTCTGATATTTAAAAGATCAGGGCTGTTATTCATAACGTCTTCGAATTTCGATGTTATAACGTCTGCGAGCTTTTGATCCAAATCGTCTATATCTATAATAAAGGCTTATTAATACATACATATATATATAACAAATCCAAGACTCTACCATCTAATACATATATATATATATATATATATATATATACAAAAAATCTATTAAACGTTTCGAAACTTAATGTGTGTCATCATTCAGTAATCTAAAAAAACATATTACATAAATAACAATTGTTGAATTTAAATATAAAAATATAAAAAGGAGAAATCTACTTTCAACATGTCCAATCCTTGGCCCATTACTATAACTTACCCTACGGGAAGTTAATAATAAAACTAATCTAAAACGCTTACAATTTGGTGTCCTTATATTACAATTAATGAAAACATTATTGCTCCATGGTATAAGGATGTGCACTATAGTAAAATATATATATTTTGACATTACAACAAACCACACAATAAATTTATATATTTAGTAAGTTATCGAAACAACGTACTGACTGTTCTAAGTTTGAGAAAGAAATGTCGCATCTTTTAAAAGAAATGTTTATATTCTTGACATATATATTTCACATGTGTTCGACAATTTGTGAGAATGTCAATAACAATGGAATTTTGTTATTGAAATTCTCACAAATTGTCGAACAAAAAACCAAAACTTAATCGCTTTCAATTTTAATATTATTTACTTTAAAAAATAATCATGTACTATAAAAAAATAGTTTTATTAACATGATTAGCATTCTAAACTAGCTGTAAGTGGAATTCTGTCTTAAGGCAATTAGGGCATCGTGCCTTAAGGCAAATTGCTGGAACTTCCCGTACCAAATATTATTATTTTTTTAAAAACGATTAACATGTTTGAAAAAAATTTAATCAAAAAAAAATAGATTTGAGAAACTACAAATTTGACAAAAAATTACTTTTTTTTGAAAAAAAAAAATTATATGAAAAAAAAAAATTTTTTTTTGGATACAAAAAATTTTTTTGAAAAAATGTTTTCTTCATTTTGACATATTTTGGAAATTCTGAACTTTTTTTCAAAGCAATCGCACTGCTTGAACTGCATAGAGACGAAATATCAAAGCGCGCATGTGCCGCGCCGCCGTCCAACGCATAAGCATTGGTACGGAACCCATAAAAATGTAAAAAAAACAATATACTTATTGTTAAAATCTCTATAAAATATCTGATAATTTGATGTGCATATGTCTAATGATAATTTTTAACCGCCGAATGGCATTTTTTTACTTTTTTCATTAGATCTCCGAAACCGCTAGACCTACCTCCATGAAAATTTGATCAATTCTACTCTTGTCAATACAAGTAAAATGTTTTTTGAATTATTCAAATCGGACGCTCCGTTCTCTTAAAACGGAGGTACCGTTCGTGGCACTTTTTGCCCCGTATCTTCGGAACGGCTAGACCTGCCTTTGCCAAAAACTAATCAGCACGTCTCCTTATCAATACGAATCGAATGTTTTTTGAATTATTCAAATCGGTTGATCCGTGTTCCCGAAATCGTCGACGAAAATTTGTATCCGCACATACATACACACACATACATACATACATACATACATACATACACACACACACACACACACACACACATACATCCATTTTTTCTAAGGTATGCCAAAATGTTCAGAAGGTTTTGAAACGTCGAGAAATGCAAAAATTTTCATTTTCGATTTTTTTGCGATTACTATAACTTACCCTACGGGAAGTTAATTATTAAACTAGTGGTGTATGGAATCGTGCCTTAAGGCATATTGCTGAAACTTCCCGTACCATAACTGTATTTAAATTAATTATTTAAAAATTAAAAAATAAACTAGAATTATTTTCGATATACAAAAAAAATTGTAACAAAAAAATATTTTTCCAATTATTTTATTAAAACAAGCAGAAAGTTCTTTAAATCATTCAAATCGGACGCTTAGTTCTCTCAAAAACTGCCATTTGTTGCACATTTAGCTCCGTATCTTCGAAATGGTTGGACCTGCATTTGCCAAAAACTAATCATCACTTTTCCCCATCATTACGAACTGAATGTTTTTTAGATCATTTAAATCGGATGCTCCGTTCTTTCAAAATTTCTTTTTCTATTTTCGGCACACTTTGCACCGAAACGGCTGAGCCTGATTTTGCCAAAAACTAATCAGCACATCTCCCTATCAATAAAAATCGAATGTTTTTTGAACCATTCAAATCGGTTGATCCGTGCGCCCGAAAACGTGTACGAAAATTTGTATCCATACATACATACACAAACATCCATTTTTTCTGAGGTATGCCAAAATGTTCAGAAACCTTCAAAACGTGAAGAAATGTAAAAATTTTCAATTTCGCTTTTTGGACGATTACAATATCTTACCCTGCAGGAAGTTAATACCCTACGGAGCGTTAATAAATCTTACCAATATTATTCTTTATGAACTCCAACAGTTCAGTATTTGTCCAAATTTTTTCCAAAGTCTTCAAAGCTTCTTTTCTATCATCCAAATTCAAGTCTTCAGATTCTGTAATATTTTGATTTTCAGAATTTTGTTTCACTCTGAATAGTATCTTCACAGAATTCTTATCTTCCGGTGCATTTTTCAATAATATGAACTCATCCGATTTAGAGAAAATATAATTTGTATTCCATTTTGAATTTCTGGTGCCATTATTTAATTTACGCATATCAATTTGTATAGAGTTATTGTTTATACTGATTTTTATTAGAATTAAAATCTCTGTGATGTTGGGAGAAAAAGTAGAATTCAATGTAGCTTTATCTTTCAGGCCACGCGTTTCTTTCCTTAACTTGGCTAAGTTTTTTATTTTGTTTCTAATAAAATCGTATTTCAAATAGTCGACTTTAGGAAGGTAAGAATCTGGCGAAACTGAAAATATCCCAATAGATGTTATAATAATTGAATTCGAGATTAAAATCTTCATGAAAATTAGTTTAAAATAAAAAGATTACCCGTTGCAGTACTAATAATTTCATGCGCTGAAGATTCAGCTCCATCATTATCTACTACAAATCTATCCATTATTGAATGGAATAGATTTTTTGACTCATCTTTGGAAGCAAGAGAAGGAGCTTCTGTTGTTAGTTCATCAGTCGACAAATCTAAGTATGGATAAAAAATATTTTTACATTATAGGTAGTTTAATTGGTATATTGAAGTTTTACTCTAAGATTTTTATCATATCTGTAATTGCTTGATAGCAATCAATAGATTAGCTAGGTGTATGGCATCGTGCCTTAAGGTAAATTGCTGAAACTTCCCGTACCGTAACGAAATGTTCGAGGATAATAAATGTTTTCAAATAGATTACTATAAATAAATACTGTAACATTGTCTAATATTTATAAGAATTATAAAAACTGAATTAAGTTAAAAATGTATTTGATGTATATAAGTGAGCCTTAGAACTTTAGCCAGAATTAATATTAAAATCTGAATTATTTGATGTAGAAAAATTCCAAAAGCAATTGGAAAACACAAGTAGAACGTTTTTTGAATCATTCAAATCGGATGCTTAGTTCTTTCAAAAACTACAATTTTTTGTATATTTAGGTCTGTATCTTCAAAATGGCTGGATCTGCCTTTGCTTAAATCTAATCACCACTTCCCAATCATTACAAATTAAATGTTTTTGGG